CTGCGCTGATTGGACCAAGGACAGTCTGTTGCGATTGGTCGACTGCCTTCAGTGAGAGAGTGAAATGCCCAACAGCTAATCAGCAATATAACAGTAATCACAGTTCATACACGCTCGATAGTGTAGGCGTGGAGTTTAGCTGCCAGTGGGTCGATGTAAATACAGACTATGGACTTCAAAATACAGACGACTAACTATTTTATTGAGCAAAAACTCCAAAAACAGTTGAGGAGATTGTTTCTGCTCTTTTCACAGACACACACACGCACACACACACACACACACACACACACACTTAACCCTGCTCCGGACGACAATGCGCGCACACACACACACACCTTCGGACGACAGCGCACGCACACACACACGCACACACAGACACACTCACTACTCCTCCTCCACGGAGCTCCGTAAACAAAGCAGCACGTGTCGCGTTTTAAACGTGGCTTTGCGCCCGATATGAGAATAAAGCGAGTTAACCTGATACAGTACACGCGGTTACAAGTAACAAATCACAACTAAATACATTTGCAAGCTAGAGTAAACGAGGCAACTTTAATCGCACGTACTTACACTTGAGAAATGGAGAAAGAAACCCATCCTGACATGTCCAGCAGTAAGTTAGTCTTTACTGATCCTTCCTTTAACAAACGCCGATGAAGTATTCTTTGTAGCCTGTAGTTTCCAGAAGTTTCCAGTAGTTTCCAACTGATTGGTTATAATGCTGAGGTTTCATCTTTGGGTAGAGACTCGATAATATCCATCTGGAGTGTGACTTCAATTGACCGGCATGTTTGTGTGTGTGTGTCTGGGTTTCTATGTCAGAGGGCGGGGCCGCAGGTTTAAAATCTCCCGGGTTTGCGCGTGCACGTGAATAACTTGGTTTCGTTCGTACGTCATGGCGAAACATCTAATGAATCGGTATCAAGGCGACTCGTTTGAAGCACTATGAGTCGAACACTGTACACTAACAGATTTAAGCCTTAGCTGGATGCTTCACTTCACTTAGAGCTGTGTTACACACTACATGGAGGGGCATTTTCAAAAACCCATAATATGGGCTCTTTAAAAGATTACGTATATCCTAGGAATTGGGCGTGGCTAACATTTTGCCTGCATGATTTCCTCTGTTTGACACAAAGCACAAGTGTATCCAAAAAATACTTGGGCAACACAAAAGTATTATCGATAATATTGCAGTTTATCCACTGAAGGCATATGGTCTGTTTTGAGGATTTTTCTGGACTTTTAACAAATGGGAAACCATTGCTGTGTTTGGAGAATGAGGGAGCTCTCCGATTTCATCTAAAATAACTTAATTTGTGTTTTTTGTTTTGTTTTGCAATGACATAAAGGAGAGTAATTAAACTGGATTTTCATTTTTGGCTGAGCTAACACTTTAATATAACACATTAAGGCAATACTATTTACCAAATATGAATTTTAAATGTGTTTTCCAGGTCATCTGCATGACAGTTCTGGCAACAATGCGCATTTACTGCAATTATCGAAGAGCCAAACCAGTTACTAAAGAAGTGATCAAGAGCGACCCCTATGCAGTAAAGCCTATTCGCAAACTCATCGACGCCTGTGCGTTCAAGATTTATGGCCACTGGGTGAAGAAGGGCCAGACGCAGAACAGAGCGGCCCTGTTTGAGAACAGTCCGAAAGCTATCCTGCTTTCTCTCGCTGCCGAATCAGTGGATTCATCTCTCAGAATGATGTAAGGCGTGTTGAAAAGACATCAGTGCTTTATACTGTATAACATCGTGAGTTGTTTCGATAACTTCCCAGTGCCCACGCATGAATGAGTACACCTCCTTTGAAAAGTAATGTTTTTATCCATTTACCAGTGAAACTGGACACTATTCATCGGTGCATTTTAACATTTAGAGTTGTTAAAAAAAGAGTGGGGTCACATTACATCTTTAAGATGAGGAAAAATAATGGATTTATTTTACTAAAACTTACTAAAATTTACTAAAACTAAATACATTTACATTTAGTCATTTAGCAGACGCTTTTCTCCAAAGCGACTTACAAATGAGGACAAGGAAGCAATTTACACAACTATAAGAGCAACAATGAATAAGTGCTATAGGCAAGTTTCAGGTCTGTAAAGTCTAAGATGGAAAGTATTAGTAGTATTAGTTTTTTTTTTTTTTTTTGGGTACAGTTAGTGTGATATTCAGAGAGGCAATTGCAGATTAGGAAGTGAAGTGGAGACTAAATAGTTGAGTTTTTAGTCGTTTCTTGAAAATAGCGAGTGACTCTGCTGTTCTGATGCAGTTAGGGAGTTCATTCCAACAGCTGGGCAGATTGAGCGTGAGCGTTCGCGATAGTGATTTCTTCCCTCTTTGGGATGGAACCACGAGGTGACGTTCATTCACAGAACGCAAGTTTCTGGAGGACACATAAATCTGCAGCAGTGAGAGCAGATAAGAAGGAGCAAGGCCAGAAGTCACTTTGTAGGCAAACATCAGAGCTTTGAATTTGATGCGAGCAGCAACTGGCAGCCAGTGCAAACGGACTAGCAGCGGAGTGACATGTGCTCGTTTAGGTTCATTGAAGACCACTCGTGCTGCTGCGTTCTGGAGCAGTTGAAGAGGCTTAATAGAGTTAGCTGGAAGCCCAGCTAGTAGAGAGTTGCAGTAATCCAGTTTGGAGAGAACAAGAGCTTGAACAAGGAGTTGAGCACCTGTACCTAATTTTTCTAGTTAACTTAATATTTATTTTATATTTTCTCCAAATATTAATTGTCATGTACCAATGTTTTGCACCAGGATCTTACTTTTTTTTTTGTTGGATTACGTCCAGTTTTGTCTTCAGTACTGACTAAACAATCCAATAAACCCGATTTTCCACAAGTGTCAAATTGTACATCATCCCATCAGTTTAAAAGTGAGAAATGTACTCATTTACTCTAGGCACTATAAATAATTAATTTCATTCATCCTTTTTCCCACAAGGATTTTAACAATTGGCTTAAATGTTGTTATTGAAAGCTTTTGTGAAACTGAAAGCTTTGTCTATTGAACCTATATATCTGAAGTTCTCCTGCTAGTGTTGATCATTTTTTCTGTTTGATAAATTATTTGAAATAATAAAACAAAAATTTAAAATGTGCATATGAATTCATTTTATGGTAATGTGGACCTTCTGGGCAAGCTGTCGAACTGACGTCATCAGAGAAGGAATGACATTTTGATTGAATAAATATATAAATCTTACCAAATAAGCCATACTTTGCACACACTAATTGTTCTCTTTAAAAGTAGCAATAATGCATTACAAAGTAAATAGTGTAAATTTTGAATTCATGATGACTTTAAAATATGACTGCTGGACAAATACAAAAATATGACGCGTTCATGGGTCAAATTTTACAGTCATTCAAATACCACTTATTATTCAAAATTTGTTAATAGTAACCACAGATCTAAATGGAATTATTAAATTGTAAATCCACAAATGCTAATGAAAAAAACCCAGATGTTTAACAAATATTGTTTAAACATTTTATTTTTGTATTTATTTTAAATACTTTAAAAACTTAATGTTAATTGTTAATATTTTATATTTTAATATTGTTCTTCAGAAATGGTTATCCGTGTTCATAATTTTATTTTTGTGTCTGTGTTTTACATAATTATTTTAGGTAGCCTATATTCCTTTGGAAATAGTTAGTTCAGTTTAGTTTAGTTCCGTGTGGTTTAATTTTCAGTGCTGAAAGTCCAAACTCTGAAAAGCAAATCCCTTGATGCGCAGCTCCACGAGTCCCAAACCATGCCAAGTGGCGACAGTGATGAGGAACAAAATGTCACCAATTTACAAAAGTAGAGGAAAAAAAAGCTTAAGAGAAACCAGGCTCAGTTGGGCACGATAATCTCAAGCATTAATTAATCAATTAAAATGCAGCATATTTTACTTGTAAAACAAAAGAATGAGAGAAACTGTGGATTCATGTTTAAAGGGAAAGTTCACCCAAAAAATTCAGTCATGATTTACTCACCATCCACTTGTTCCAAGCCTATTTGAGTTTCTTTCTTCTGTTGAACACAAGTCATTTTGTCTGTGGAAGTCAATGGTTACAGGTTTACAACATTCTTCAAAATATTGTCCTTTGTGTTCAACACAATAATAAAGCTTCCCTACTGAAAAAAACTGCTTAAACAAGCCTAGGCTGGTGAGCTGGTTTTAGGTGGTTGACCAGCCTGGTTTTAGAGGGGTTTTGGCATTTTCAGGCTAGTTTCCATTCATGCCCAGCCTGGTCTTAGCTGGTCAGACTGGGAGATGACCAACTAAAACCAGCTTAACCGGCCTAGCCAGGCTGGGAGTCCAGCCAAAATCAGCTTAAACCAGGTTGGTCAAGACCAGGCTGGAAATGGCTGGAAAACAGTCTGGAAATGGCCAAAACCCCTCAAAAACCAGGCTGGTCAACCAGCTAAAACCAGCCAACCATCCTTGTTTTTTTCAGTAGTGTTTGGAACCACTTGAGTAAATTTGCATTTTTGGGTGTACTGTCCCTTAAAGATACAAACATGTTCAGAGTATAATACATTCAGTCGTTTCAGAAAGACAAAAAGTTGTTGGTTTACTTCGTACACTCACATTTATGCTCACATATTTGTGTAAATGTGTTTAAACACAAAATAGAAATCGTCTTTACTGCGTTTCTTTGATTTGTATTTGTATTTAACATAAAAATACGGGGCATTTTTGAGCAGTTTCTTTTCTGTCTACCCTCTGTATAAAATTTTCTGTCATCAATGAATGAATACAATAAAAAAAAATACATTTTAAGATCGTAGTGGATCCTTTAATGATTTGGTTTTGCTCATGAATATGTTACGATGCGTGAGGCGGGCGTAGAGCTGGCGAACCAATACATGTCTTATCTTTTGGATATTAATTAGATTTCGTAACGCTCTAAAGAGAACGTCATGACGTTAAGTTTAATATTAATGAGTTCGTCGTTTCCACGTGTTTTGCTCCTCTGTCGTTTCTAGCTTTACACTTCCGCCGTTCCATGTGTTGGATTTCGTTCACAGGAACACACAGAAATGGCTACTAAACGTGAAAACGAAGAGAATATTACCGAGTCTGTGACAAAAGCAAAGAAAGGCAAAACAGACGAAAGCGAGTTTAGTGGCACTGTTTTTAAATCCATGCTGAAGGATTCATCTGAAGCACAGAAGGGTGAGTATTCTATCAAATCTTACTGTTCAAAACATAATTTATTAATTTGTACAGTTTGAGTTCAAAACGCACGATTCGTGTACACCATTAACGTTAACGTTACATAGTAATTGCCTCTAGCTGGTAAATAAAACCTCTCTGCTAGCCTAGTGCTTTAGCCAAGATCTCCTCAGACCTTTATTTTGTTTTCCCAACATGCATTATTATTATTTTATTATTCAAAGTAAAGTAATCATTTTGTACTATATATTTATACAATATAAAATTAGTACTTTCCTTTAAATAATACAAGTAGGATTCACAGAAGTTGCCAATCGATAATTTGAAAACAAATGTGGATGCAATTTTTTGGACACAATTGTTAAGTTTGCAATACTAAAATACAAATTTAAAATAATTATGGTTTAACCTCTTAAGACCTTAAAAACATTACAAAACGCAAAAAACCTTGTTAAATGTCTACTTTTTTGACATGAACATTTTAAAGTGTGATTGGGAGTGTTCAATCATCAGTTAACAAAATTATTTTTGTTATAACGATATATTATAATTATATATTACATATGTAATATAAAAAACTGAAATGTTCATAAGTGATTACAAATTTTTGTATTTTAAAATCATTAAAACCGGCAATTTAGTAAAACCCAGTGGTTGGAAAAAGCAGTGACAAAGTGTTGGTCATCAAATAATTTTCCTTCTACATTATGCCTGAAAAGATCTTATATTTACTTTTTATTATGTAAACTATTGTTATTCTGAATGACATTTGAGGTTGTGTATTCTTTAAGTCATAATGAAATGTATCAAAGCCTTTATTATTATTATATTCCTGAGAAAATATTATTGGGTGTTAATACTGAAACATGAGCTTCTTTATTATTATGTAGGTTTGGCAACCTTCATAAGAGTCGCAAAGACTCTTCCGTGTGCAGAACTGTATGATGTTGTTGAAGGCTACATTAAAATCTCTGCCGAATGTTCGGAAATTTTTGCATTGCTGGATGAAGAAAAGCCAGAGAAGGAGGTAAGTAATGAGTTCAAATTTCTGTTTATTTATTGTTATGTTGTTGTTTATTTATAGTTGAACAGTTTAGTAGCCTTCTTGGTGGACGTATATATTTTTTTCCTTTTTAAATATTTCCCAAATGTTGTTTAACAGAGAAAGGAAATTTTCACAGTGTGTTCGATAATATTTTTGTCTTCTGGAAAAAGTCTTATTTGTTTTATTTCGGCTAGAATAAAAGCAGTTTTAAATTTTTTAAACACTATTTTAAAAAAAATATTTAAACTACACTATTTAAACACTATAAACTACAAATATATATATATATATATATATATATATATATATATATATATATATATATATATATATATATATATATATATATATATATATATTTACTATTTTCCCAAGTCTATATAGCTACTGTAAGAAAATATCAGCATTTGGTACATACTTTCAGTATTAGCTTTGCTTGAGCTGACTCGATCTAATCATGTTGATATGAAATGAGCCTGCTCCTATGCAGGTTTGAGCTACCAGAACTGTTACTATGACAACAAGTCTCAGATGAGATTTGAAGAACGAAACGATCCTGGATCGTGTCAAAACGTCAATAAAGAAAATCCAGCTAACTGAGTAATCCACGTATGAAGAACGGACCCATGGTCACAACGTCATCAAAATACACCTTTGTTTGTTGTGAACATGCGCCCTCTAGTGGCGAAAAATGCCATACTGTGTCCTTTAAGAGTTGACTGTTTGCTTTATAATAACAGCTTAATTGTGTTTAAACACCTTTTGTAGATGATGCTGATATTTCAGTGTCTAGAAATGATATTACTGCGGACGGCCAGTGATCTCTCTCAGTTCAGCATGGTGGGCGCCAACATAGTTAGGAGGATTGTGTCCAAGCACATGACGCTTCTGCAGTCCAGTCTATATTCGAAAAATTACAGGTACTTCTTGCAATACATTCTAATCGAAATGAAGCACTTGAAAGTTTTGAGAATGCACTCAGAAAGTGTGGTTGTTGCATGTTTTGAGCAGGTTTGTCCGCCAGTGTCTGAGTCTACTGTCCGCTCTGGTGTCTCAGAGTGCAGACGCTGCACGAGATGTATTCGGTCAAATGCAGTTCGGCAAAGATCTGTGTCAACTCGCTCGAAAAAGAGACAAATCGGTAGGTGCTTCAGAAACTGCACATAGCACTTAACATTAGATTGATTTAGCCAAGACTATATTCAATTAAAAATAATAAGAAAAAGTACTGATTTTGTGAAATATTGTAAGATTTAAAACTGTCTTAAAGGGATAGTTCACCTAAAATATGAAAATTCTGTATTCATTTACTTACCCTTGACATGTATAAAACCCTATTTGACTTTTTTCTGTTGATCACAAAAGAAGATACTTTGAAGAATGCTGGAAATATGTAACCATTGACTTCCATAGTATTTGTTTTACCTATTATGAAAGTCAATAGTTAAAGGTTTTCAGCTTCATTCAAAATATCTCTTTATAAGAGAAACTTAGAAACACATAGAGGTTTAAAAACCCCCGAGGGTGAGTAAATAGTGAGTACATTCTCATGTTTTTTTTGGGGGGTATCCCTTAGGGTTGGGCTGATAGACAATGCCATCGGGGATGGCCAATAGACAACACAATGCTGAGCCGGCATCGCCGATCCTCTGCCCCGCCCCCATTGAAAACCCGCTCGCGAAAAATAGACACTCGGGCGCCATTTACACTAATACGTCTTAGTGTTAAAATGATATTTTAGAATGAAAATGATCTACATCCACACCGTGTTTTACCTAGCATTTCTGAACAGCCCTCCGTCTGCTGAAAACGCACATCACGTGACCACACACACTGTCATGCGCTCCTCTGAGCTATAGAGAGCAGTCCACATCGGACAGTTTATCAAGGATGTACCTCTCACTATAGTTGTTAAAGGGCCATGAAACCCCCTCGTTTCAGCAGGGTGTTTTCACACCTCTACTTTGGAAAAAGTCAGAAAAGTGGGCGTGTCCAGCTCTGTTTAGGGGGGGAGTGTCGGAGGAACTAAAGTGGGAGGGTGTAGGAGTGTCTATTTGGGCACGCGCCAGTTTCAATCAAAATACACACAAGAGGAAGTGATGGTGTTTAACCTACATGGACATCTGTAGTCGAATTATTTGCCAAATTATTAAATGCTGGACTTTAACTGCAGTTTGGCTCTTTCATTCAGGGAATTCATTCACGTCCCTCGCGACAAACGAGATATTTGATTCGAGGATCTGCTGTAAGTGTGTATTTTTCATGCAATGTTTGATACCGCACGGCGAATGAGAGAAAAAAAAACTCAGCATTTCCCGGAAACTTAGATGCACACGGCAGGTAGCGTCAGAAAGCCGCGTGTGTTATTCCGGTCACAAAATGCGGTGCTAACATTTCTGCACTCAGTGCAATAGTTAACTTAATTCGATACGAACAAACTGAATAAACAAAGAGCACTGGTCGCTCACTTACCAAATCTGTAGAGACAGGACAATCACCAGCAACTAGAGCCGCGTCTTTATGGAGAGAAGACTACAAGCGAATCCGGATTTCAGCGTTTGCAGATGAGAACAGCTCTCAGGTAAACAATAATCCTCCTTAGACACATAAGTTATTGTTGTCGAGCGTCGCGTACACTGTTAATCCACACGTGAGTCTGAGCTCTCACAGAGAGAAAATTAAACAAAACTTAATGGCAGCAAACTATAAAAGCAACACTTCACGCTTGTTTTGCCAACACAACGTGGCGTCTTTGTGGTGTTAACACGGTGACACTAATGAATATTAATGAAGTTGCACAATAGAGCGCGCTGATTGGTTTGAACCAAGCCTTACTAACGCATTAATGCATCACACTGTAAGAAGTAATAAGACTCACTCTGGCACAGACGCCCAGTCTGTACGCTGGAATACACGCTATTATGTCATTATGTTTGTAGCTTCAAAAATTCATTTCAAACAGGAAGTAGGAATTTGCTTGAAATAACGCAAAAACAACCAATTTACCCTTTTTAGTAAAATATAGGTGTCTTAATAGTGTTTTTAGCAGTGTGGGACACATATACGACTGTCAACAGCTCAAAAAATGTGTTTTGGTGTTTCGTGACCCTTTAAACGTAATATTCAGACATCCAAGTTCCGGGAAACTCTATGCATTTGCGGGACTCATAGGCCCAATCCCAATTCTACCGCTTTGCCCTTCCCCTTACCCCTACCTCTTGTTTTGCGCGTGCCCGTGAAGGGGTAGTCCCAATTCTCTTTACCTTGAAGGCGTAGGGCTAAAGGCAAGGGGTATACACCCTTTCAAACGAAGATTTTTCAGGACCACACTCGAAACCAAGGGGTAAGAAAAATTTCCCAGAATTCGGTAGCCACAGCTGCACCCGGAAGTAAGGAGATCCACAAGTTAGTATTTTTTTGTCACTTTGAAACTTTGAACTTACAACAAACATAGTTTTGACATATTCATAATTGTAGCGTCATGCTTTAAAAAAAAAAAGCTAAGATAAAGACCTCTAAACTTTGCGATCTATTTGCGATTTATAATTCCCAATAATAACTTCTGTATAGCAGTCTCACAACATTATGACACTCGATGACAATGGAATACCCTGTCAGAAAGTTTAGTGGCTGTCAATGAGCCTTTTAAAGTGTCTGCTATAATGTTAATGCTGTTTTTGGTATGTTTACTATAGATGAATATGGCCACTGTGTTAAATGCATAGTATTACAATCTTATTGCCACATTAGATAGTTATGATAACATAATATATGCAGTCATTTCCTGAAGATTAATACCAAAAAATAGCACAACTGGAATAACTACAGCAGTCGTGATCGTCGGATCTCATATTAAGCAAGAGATGGCGATGACGTATGATGACGTGTACAGGTGCTGTAGTGCTGTCCCAATTCTAAATGTTACATTTTGAAGCCCTTCCCCTTAACCCTCGGTTGTATGGGCTAAGGGTAAGGGAAAGGTTAGGGGGTACAAGAATAGAATTGGGATTGGGCCATAGTGCCCGCAAACAAGTGATAATCTCCCGAAAATCGCGATTCTCCCTCCCTGTCCTCAAATAAGTCGCGCACCCTTCTCACCCCCGGGTCCCTCATCACTCTTCAGACATGTCACGTGCACTCTGTCAACCCCCCCTTTTCACATGATGACGATGCCATCATTCATCGTGATGTTTCACATTACACATCGTACAGTGCCAAATTGGTTGACATCGCCCAACCCTAGTATTCCTTTAATTTACGTATTTCCAAATCCAGTTTATTCCAGCTACATTAAGCATAGTTTTTCAGTGTTTTATTAATTGAGGTAATCAGAATTATTTGTAGTATGATTGTTTGCTGGTCCATTATTTTTATTTGTTTTATTTATTTATTTATTTCACCATCTCATTCTGTGTTAATTAATTAATTAATACACAAGCTAATCAAAGGCAAAAACATTTGCTCGTTACTTTCATTGAGGGTCACTGTCAAGTCCATCTAAATTTAACTTTAAGACTAAAACATTAGTGCAGCTGAGACTATTACAACCAGCCATTTTTCAGAATTACATACATGTAGGAAACACCTGTCAATATGACATCATAGTTTCTAATGTAAACTCTTTACATTCAAAATGTGTTTAGTTTGACTGCACAGAGCAGCATTTCAGCTTATTGTTATTCACAATCAATAATTATAAAATGGACATATTTTCTCAAAATTAACCGCTATTTATGTAGTATAAATGTGTAAAACTTTAGTTGCTGCTTAATATTATTATAGAACACATGTTGCTTGATACTTTGATGAACAGAAAGGTTGACAGAACAGCATTTATTATAAATAGAAATATACAGTTATACTATTTATGTCTTTATGGTTACTTTTGATCAGTTTAATGAGTCCATTTTTTTTTTTTGGATGGTATAAACGTGTATATGAAGTGTTATCAAGAGAAATACTGTCTAGACAAAGCACAATTAACTGTCGCATTAATGCCTAGTTCAGACTGCGTGATTTTAGCCCCGATTTTGGCTCTTAGACAGGTTTTGAGAAATCGCCGACAAATGCCTGAAATCACAGGCAAATCGCTGCTCGTGCAAGTGAGTGACAATCACACAGTATGAACGATCAAAGACGCGATCTGAGAGAATCGCCGATGAGTCGCCGATGCCTGTGAGATATTTGGCGTGCTAAATATCTGGAGCTGTCGGCGATTCAAATCATGCCGTGTGAATTGAGTTTTGACTGAAAATAACATCAGCGATCGCCTACAGCCAATGAAAGAGCAGCTTTCACTTGTGTGTGTGTGTGTGTGTGTATACCTGCTGCAGGCCAGCGGGAGGCTGGGGAAGAAGTTAAAAGCGCTCTTTTTCGGTTTATTTGGACTCACGAAATGGAGGAAAAACTAGTGGAGGTTTGACAGGACTCAGGAGCAACCGTGTCTGTTTGACATTTCATACAAAAAGAAATTAGTTTATTATCAACGTTGAGGAGAAATGCCGAATTCCCTTTAAACCCAGGTGAACAAACATGTACATGTTCTACCCCATTAAAGGCTTCTTTCTCATTATGTAGTTAATAACAAAAGATATACTACATGTTTTTGGCTGTGAGATGTAGTTTGGACGAAGTTGTCGGCGATTCTCCCTATAGTAAAGTCATGCAATGTGAATGTCCATGTCGCCGAACCATCTTGCAGTGTAAACAAAGCAGCGACGAAACGCTAGCCCAGATAGTCAAGCAGTGTGAAAACATCTGTGACACGACTACTTTGAAAATCATGCAGTCTGAACTCGGCATAAGGTTCAGTTAGTTAATATATTTATTAACATGAGCTATATTTGTGCAGCATTTATTAATCATAGTTCAACATTTACTGATGCATTATTAAAATCTTTAGTCATGCTTGTTAATATTAGTTAATTAATGAACAAGAACTAACACTGAACAACCTTAATTTTATTAAACTGATGAGTTTAAACTACAAAATGAGTAGTTTACTAATAATAAGGTCATACTTTATATTAGGTAGTCTTAACTAGTATGTACTTGCACTAAAATTAATCATTTGTTACAATGTAATTAAGTGCAAATACATGGTTTTACATTGTTCTTATGATTGATTAAAAACCTGCATGTAATTACATCTGTTATTAAATCTCTAATTACACTATTGACCATCCCTTACACCTATATCCACCCTAAACCTACTCATACCATAGCTAAGGCCACCTAATATAAAGTGGGACCGATAAAATTGAGTTAAGAAAGATAAATAAATACTTTAAAAATGTACTGGGTTCTATAGATATAAGTAAGTGCATTCTACCGTGTCAGCATCAGATGATTATGTTGATTAGTAAAGGTCAAACGAACTTATCCATTGTTTCATTAAAATACATCTTACAGTATGCTAGCTACGCCTAAGTTGTAGGTCTTGTCAACACTACCTATGATGCGAAGTTGATGAAATTATATAAATTAAAGAATATGTGAGTTGTGCATTAGAACATTCATATTAGTTAATATATGTTCATAATTAGTTTAAAAACGACTCGGCAGTGTTGCCTAATAAGAAGTACTTTTCTTTGACTCACAGTTTACTTAGAATCTAAACAATCCCCTCATGTTTCCTGTTAAGTGCATTTATAGGTTGTTTCTCAATTCTAAGAATGCAGAGAACGGACTTGTGTTCTTGTGGAGACCGGTCTTGCTAGGGCAGAGAAAGGCTACGCCCGAAACCGCATACTTCCATACTATATAGTATGCTAAAATCAGTATGCGAGCCGAGTAGTATGTCCGAATTCATAGAATTCGAAAATCAGTAGGCGAGAAGTACCCGGATGACTTACTACTTCCGGCAAGATTCTGAAGTGCGCATCCCATGCACGCTGCGCTATCCCATAATGCCCCGTGAGAGAATTCATGAATGGAAGTGAAACGACGCAACTGACGCAAGTACGTCACGTGACCGTGACAAAATGGTGGATGTAGTACGTCCGAATTCCATTCATACTTTTCACATTCATACTGTATAGAACATACTTTTCCAACGGCCTAGTAGTACGTTTAAATTCAAATGCAGTACCTACTTAGTAGGCGGTTTCGGATGCAGCCAACGTGTCCTTTGAGAAATGAGATGCTGCGTTCTTCCTGATGGTCACATGACCTTCATGCGTTTTAAATGGTAAACTATTTAAACTGTGCATCATTCATACAACGATTTATTATTTTTCCCCATTTTAAAATATATACTTTGCATAAAAACATTATCAATATACTCTGCACAATATAAAAAAAACTGATTTAAATACGAATTTCAGCAAACAAACATCCTTAATGTGTTTATTCCTTTATTAAGATGTTCATGGTGATCTTTCACCGTTTCATTTAGAGAAACTCCTGAGGTAAATCAGTTTAAATCTGAACTTTAATAATAAACCTATATAAAATGTTGCGCTTCCCGCCTATAGTCGCAATGACTTCTGGGACTTCTAGAGCGAGGTCGGTGCTCAAGTCTGTATCGGTGCGTCCTCGATAGCAAGATCACATCCGGAAAGTTTCACGCGTCCTCTGTACTAGCATTCTTGAGTATTGGAACTGAACTTAGGCAGCTGATGATGACGTTACTCGAGAACAAGAGGACGCAAGACCGTTGAAGAACGCATATTGAGAAACAGCCATAATATTTGTGTTGATTTTATTTTATTTTTTCAGGGAAAGTCAGATGTTAGAATGGCTTTCATTCAGTTTGTCCTTTCTTTCCTGATGTCTGGAGACAATACAACTATTGGCCAGATTCTGGACACTAAAGGTATCAAAGACCAAAGTCTATAAGCATAGCTGTGCCATTGAATTATTTTAAACTGTCATTTTTTTCTGGTGCTGCTTAGAATTATCTGAAATCTTGAACAGTGGACTTAAAGAAGATCGACTGTCCATCATAAACCTGATTCTGTCAACCCTCCAGACTAAAGTAAGTCCCTTATATTTGTCATTCATCAGTAGGATTGTCAAAAGTATCGAGTTTAATATAAAACTGTATTGAAATTTCAAAAACGTTTGTTTCCCGTTAATATTTGTGTATGTTCTTACATAGTGCTAATTAGCCATAGTGTTCACATGCTCAACAGAAATGACTGTGATGCGCTCAAATGTTAGCGGGAAATTCAAATTTCAGTACCAATCGGTCCCGAACTCAATACATTTGCCACCCTACAGTGAGATGCTGAACATCAGTTATAACTGTGTATTTGTTTTGTCATAGGTTGTGCAGAACAAGACAATCACAAAAACTCAGAAAGTGCGTTTCTTTAGCGCTTCCATACTGGCACAGATCGCTTCTCTTTATAGATGGAACGGGATTGTGGACGTCAGTGTGGATGAGGAGGAGGTACAGTGCACACTTACATTTTCTGTCATAATTTAATCTTCCTTCCCTTGTTCCAAAACCTGGTTGACTTTCTTTCTTCCGTTGAACACAAATGAAGATGCGCTCCCCACACACACAGAATGTGACAATTGTTGGAAAATCGAGATATAAACATTGTCCGAAAGTGGAATAAACAAGCTTCTTGATGTAAGATCATTGATTGGTTTGACGATATTTGGCTACGATACAACTATTTGAAACTCTGGATTCTGATGGTTAAAAATTAATAAATAGCAGAAGCAAAAATAATACATTTTCATATTATTTTAATGCTCTGTATGTGGTAGGGTTGGGCCGATAGACGATGCCATCATCCATCGCCGATAGCCAATAGACAACACGATGCTAACCCGGCATCGCTGATACTCCGCCCCGCCCCCATCACAAACCAGCTTGTGAAAAATACACACTCAGGCCCCGTTTACAATAATACGTCTTAGTGTTAAAATTGTATTGCATTAATTAATTAAAATTAAATTGCATTTTAGAATGAAAATAATCCACATCCACTCCGTGTTTTACCTAGCATTTATGAACAGCCCTCCGTCTACTGAAAGCAAACATCACGTGACCACACAAACACAGACACAAGTGGTGTTCACTGCAGAGCCACACAGTCACACACACACACACACTGCCACGCGATTCTCTCTCAGAGCTCCAGAGACAGAGCAGTGCACGTCTTTATCAAGGTTGTACCGCTGGATCGCGTCTCACTACAGTTGTTAGACGTGATATTCAGACATCCCAAGTCTCCCTGAAGTTCTGCTTCTCTCCGGTCCTCAAATAAGTCACGCACCCTTATCACCCCCGGATTCCTCCTTGCTCTTCTGAAACGTTCCGTGCCAATGCCAAATTGGTCGACATCACCCAACCCTAGTATGTGGTAATTTTGTAAAATGCAATAGGTGTAGTGTTTAGCTGCGATTGTGCACAAAATCTGTCCCTCAGCATCACCAGTGTGATTTTTATTTTTATTTTTTATTGTCAACAGTAAATTGCACTTATTTTCATATTTTTTATTTTATTTATTTATTTATTTATTTTATTATTATTGTTTATTTTACTTAATACACCATGCTGTCAACCTCAACGACTAGTACCGACCTGTTTATATGCTCAATTTGAAAAATTTATGCACATCATATAGTGTTTATGCATGTCATATACTGTGTGTCGCTAGATATGAGGGTTATAGTGTGGTTTATTTTTATTCTTTTAATCAATTTTGTACTGTTATATATATATATATTTTTTTCTTTTTGTAATGTTATTGTTTCTTTTTACTTTTGTTTGTTAACTGTCATAAAAATCTAATAAATAAATCTTAAAAAAAAAAAAAAAAAAAAAACAGTAAATTGCATTTGTGTTGTTATAATTTGTTATTATCGTCTAATTCTTCACAGTTAAACATTTTTGTATGTTTTTTTTTTTTACAAATAATCGTGACTAATCATATACTAAAATAAAATAATATAATAAAAAAGTGCATCTTTGCTGTTTACATTAAGCATGTTTATGCGATATTCCGAAATGCTTATGTTTATTAAATCATCAAAAATGAAGGCACACTATATTTTTTAATAGCAAAATGATTATAATCTAAAAGCAATACAACTAATAATTTATTCTTGCTAAATTCTATTTTCATTTGTAATTAAATGGCAGCTAAGGGGAAATTAATATTAATGAATAATGTTATAATTTGGGGCTAAGTAGTGGCGCAGTAGTGCTGTCGCCTCAGAGCAAGAAGGTCGCAGGGTCGCTGGTTCGAGCCTTGGCTTAGTTGGCATTTCTGTGTGGAGTTTGCATGTTCTCCCTGCGTTCGCATGGGTTTCCCCCGGGTGCTCCGGTTTCCGCCACAGTCCAAAGACATGCGGTACAGGTGAATTGGGTAGGCTAAATTGTCCATAGTGTATGAGTGTAAGTGTGAATGTGTGTGTGTGTGTGTGTGTGGATGTTTCCCAGAGATGGGTGACGCTGAAAGGGCATCCGCTGCGTAAAAACTTGCTGGATAAGTTGGTGGTTCATTAAGCTGTCGCGACCCCGGATTAATAAACGGACTAAGCCAACAAGAAAATGAATGAATGTTATAATTTAGCATGCGTCACCTCTTTAATATCCTCTCAAACTCCTACATTTCTCTCCGATTATTTTGTTTTGAATACTTTTGATATTTTCTCGAATCGTTTTGTGTTCATATTTATACAGAAGGTTGAAGAAGGAGGGAAACATATAATGAGGGAGCTGGTGCATAACTTCCTGATGGATCTCTGCTGCTCTCGGAAACATGGGATCAGTTTTCATGACCCGAGCTTGGGCACCGCTGGAAAGTGAGTCTTTGATGCTCATAGTGCAGTATTTTTAGCCAGAGCTAAGTTTTTGCACATTTTAAAACATTCATTAAATAAACGAATAACATAGCACGTCACATAAAGACCATTCCAGTTTTTCATTTTTCAGACCCCTACTGCTTGTAAAGCATTAGAAAGTTAAAGGTGACTTTTTGTGCTTGTTCCAGAGTAGGAAACCTTGTTCTGCTGCAGTTTCTGGTGCGTCTGAAGCAGGCGACAGAGGACGAGATGGTTGCGGAGCTGGTTGTTAATGTTCTGAAGGGAAGTCCTGATATACTGAACCGATACTTCAAGGAAACCCAGTGTTCATTCGCACCACGAAACAACAAGACCTGGCAGGACAACATCAGTCTACTCAAGAAAGTCAGTCTTATGCTTTGACACATCTTTAGATTGCTCTGTTCATTATTATTTTTTGGTTAAAAAAAATGATGCAAATTTTGAGCGAGTACAGAAAAGTATGGGCTGGGGGTTAACGAAATTACATATAATGGCTGTAGCGGTTACATGGAGTAACAGCTGAGAGGCTAAAACAGAGACATGATTCGTGATGCAAACATCAAATATAAACAAGGCAAGTTTAGTTTATTTGATTATAGGGTCAATGCACATTAATAAACATTACTGTAAAATGTGCCAGAATTAGCCAAGAATGGCTATTTTTCATCTGTAGACCCCTTACAGGTTGTTAAAAAGTCACACCTAAAATAGAAGCACAGCATTAAAGGGTCACGAAACACCAAAACACATTTTTTGAGCTGTTGACAGTCGTATATGTGTCCCACACTGCTAAAAACACTATTAGGACACCTATATTTCACTAAAAAGTGTAAATTGGTTGTTTTTGCGTTATTTCAAGCAAATTCGTACTTCCGATTTGAAACAAATTTTTGAAGCTGCGTCACGGTCATGACATAATAGCGTTGTATTCCAGCGTGCAGACTGGACGTCTGTGCCAGAGTGAGTCTTATTACATCTTACAGTGTGATGCATTAATGCATGAGTAAGGCTTGGTTCAAACCAATCAGCGCGCTCTATTGTGCAACTTCATTAATATTCATTACTGTCACCGTGTTTACGCCACAGAGACGCCACGTTGTGTTGGCAAAACAAGCGTGAAGTGTTGCTTTTATAGTTTACTGCCGTTAAGTTTCGTTTTCATTTTCTCTCTGTGAGAGCTCAGACTCACGTGTGGATTAACAGTGTACGCGACGCGCGACAACAATAACTTACGTGTCTAAGGAGGATTATTGTTTACCTGAGAGCTGTTCTCATCTGCAAACGCTGAAATCTGGATTCGCTTGTAGTATTCTCTTCATAAAGACGCGGCTCTAGTTGCTGGTGATTGTCCTGTCTCTACAGATTTGGTAAGTGAGCGACCAGCGCTCTTTGTTTATTCAGTTTGTCCGTATCGAATTAAGTTAACTATTGCACTGAGTGCAGACATGTTAGCACCGCATTTTGTGACCGGAATAACACACGCGGCTTTCTGAAGCTACCTGCCGAGTGCATCTAAGTTTCCGGGAAATGCAGAGTTTTTTTTTCTCTCATTCGCCGTGCGGTATCAAACATTGCATGAAAAATACTCGCTTAGAGCAGTTTCTCGAATCAAATATCTTGTTTGTCGCGAGGGGCATGAATGAATTCCCTGAATGAAAGAGCCAAACTGCAGTTTAAGTCCAACATTTAATAATTTGGCAAATAATTCGACTACAGATGTCCATGTAGGTTACACACCATCACTTTCTCCTGTGTGTATTTTGACTGAAACTGGCGCGTGCCCAAATAGACACTCCCACACCCTCCCACTCTAGTTCCTCCGACACTCCCCCCTAAACAGAGCTGGACACGCCCACTTTTCTGACTTTTTCCAAAGTAGAGGTGTGAAAACACCCTGCTGAAACGAGGGGGTTTCATGGCCCTTTAAACATTAAATACACTTTCATATATAAAATAAAATTAAAAAGTAAAAGAGCAAGAACAGACTGATGGCAGCAGAAGAGGACAAAAAGCCAAAGACAAACAGTACAAATGTGTCAAGAATACAGTACTAATGCTGACAATGCTGATTTGTCAATAACCAATTTTTAACATGAGACTGAAAAGAACAAAAAGTGCACGTTCTTCTAATTGTTGGTGGGATGGAGTTCCATTCCTTAGCAGCTTTCACTGAAAATACTGACTGACTGAGTTTTTTTGAGAGGAATAATGCAGTCCCCTCTTTCACCACCTCTAGTAATTAGGTGAGCAGTCGTTCTAATATTCACAAACTGATTTAGTGGTGAAGTGGGGTTATGTAAAGTCTTAAACATTAAACAGATATGTACATATTTTGACAGTGTAGATTTGATTTGATTTTGATTTTGGTCAACAAATAATACCGCGTCGCCATTCATCCCCTCACTCTTGTCTTGAATGAACAGGTGTCATATTGCACAGCCCTAGATGAACCATTATTCTAACGTTTAATAATTTCTAATATGTCTATTCACATCATTATTGCCTAGATATATTATAGTTTAACTTCTTATTGTATCCTGCATCCCTGTCACATTGAAACTAGGTGGTTTATAGATGTAACTCATGGTTTGATGTTGTTTCAGATCTATGAGGTTCAGCCAGTGGTGTCCAAGGCTTTCCAGATGAATGAAATGGTCCCTTTCCCTCGTCTGCTGTCTATGGTGTTGGTCACGTCTCTTCCTCCAGTGTGCAATAAAGTCTTCTTCACTCAAGGTCTTAATGTAAGCGATAGATTCAACTCGACTGATATTGAAAATGATACCATTTTTAGACTAATTAACTAATATTAGAGGAGCAACAAACTCACTTTGCCTCAGCACCGTGCAGTCTTTGTGGTGCCGTTTTAAGGTGTCACAAACAGTAAAAAAATGCATATTTAGGACAAAACTGTATGACTATTTATATTATAACCTTTTAATATAACTATTAAAATGGTAATTAATCAATATTAAAATCCCAATACTTATTTTTTGACTTGATATTTGATTTATATATATTTTTTATTATCAGCCAAAAGAGAAAAGCTGCGTCCCAAATGGCACACTACACACTATGCACTATGTACTTATGCATTTACACACTCAACAGGATAGTATATGTATGTAGTGTCGTCTCAAATGGAGCACTAATGTTTTTTTACTAAGCGGAAATTTAAACCGTTTCCCTAATGCCATTTGACTGTTGCCAAATCAGTGAAATAAACGACCGAATTATCAAATAATACCTGCCGTAAGTATTGCCGCATTCACCATTGGGAGGCGCTATTATCACTCTCGTAGGAGAATTTTGCTTTCACCATCCAAAACAAATAGTTATCCAACATGTGCATCCGATAGCTCCGCCCCTTCCACTACGTGAGCAAACCTGCGGTCGTTGAGTGCGTAAAGTGTCCATCATTACACACTTCATTTTAGTGGCTGAATGAGTGCATCATCCGGGTAATTAAAGTGCACTAATTATTTTTAGAGTTTTCAGTGTGAACGCACCACGTACACTATTTATACTACAAAATGGCGTAGAATAGTGCATAAGTATGCGATTTGGGACGCTGCTAAATATAGTCGAATATGAGCTGAAAAAAAACAGCAGTGTTCAGCATGCTGGTTTCACCAGCCATTGTTACTGTGCGGTTTGAAAGTAGCTTTCAAACCTAATGCAGAAAGCATTGCGCTATGAAACCCATTCATTTCAATGGCTTGCGTCATGTAAGGGAGATGTGTTACCAGCTATCGACCTGCTTGCACATGCACCATGTTCAAAGTTCAAAATAGCTAAATATTCCACTCTTTAAAGTATGAACCACAGTATACTTGTTTTTCCTTTTTGCTCTGTGTTCTCATGACAATGCTGGTAAAATGACACCTCTCAACTTGTTCACTGTAAATAAAATGTGGTTATTTTATTGGCTTGTTTTTTTTTAAATCAAAGTTATTGCGTTCAATTTAAAGTGTTACAAAATTGCATTTTATGATTTAATTAAATTAATAAATTGATTTAATAAATTATTAAGCATTTTTGGTTGTAGTATTTGTGGCCAAGTGCATTCGGAAATTTAGATTTCAGTTTTGGCCCAGAATTTTTAATTCAATGCAATCTTAGCCTGGATCATTACAATCAATGTCAGCTCACTGATATTTGGACATTTTAAAGTCACAAAAAGTAATTGAAACATTCAATTGTGCACTTTATTTGTCAATAGTCATTCCTTTGCTTATTGTTTTGAAACATTTTTTGGTCCCCTAATAGGTACACAGCTTGGTGGTCCAGCACACAACACTTTCGCTTCTGGCGTTCATTCTCAAGCGAGCTCAGCAGAATATTGAATACTGTCTGGACAGAACAGTCTGGGAGACCTCAGATATTTACAGCCCTGCTATGATGGAGGAGTTTGTGCAGCTTTACAGAGAGGCGCTGAGCAAGGTGAGAATGATATGTAAATGAAAAGAACGGAGAGCTTTTATTTTCATTAAGGTCTACATGAATTGGAAGTTGCTGAGGCTTTTTTAGTATGTTGATGTACTTTCTACTGAAACGTAATATCGAGTAGGGGCGGGGCTTTTACTATTGCACATCATTTCAGCAAAAGGGACGTCACCAGAGAAGGACCGCCACTCCAAACGTGGAAACAAATTGTCAGACTTTGAAGATTACCAAAACAAACATTATTTTCAGTGCTTTTACATTTTTACTTTTCAAGTGGCTACATTTCACATTACATGATGAGAACGCTTTAAAGGGTCACGAAACACCAAAACACATTTTTTGAGCTGTTGACAGTCGTATATGTGTCCCACACTGCTAAAAACACTATTAGGACACCTATATTTCACTAAAAAGTGTAAATTGGTTGTTTTTGCGTTATTTCAAGCAAATTCGTACTTCCTGTTTGAAACAAATTTTTGAAGCTGCGTCACGGTCATAACATAATAGCGTGTATTCCAGCGTGCAGACTGGACGTATGTGCCTGAGTGAGTCTTATTACGTCTTACAGTGTGAAACATTAATGCGTGAGTAAGGCTTGGTTCAAACCAATCAGCGCGCTCTACTTTGCAACTTCATTAATATTCATTTGTGTCACCGTGTTTACACCACAAAGACGCCACGTTGTGCTAGCAAAACAAGCGTGTAGTGTTGCTTTTATAGTTTGCTGCCGTTAAGTTTCGTTTTCATTTTCTCTCTGTGAGAGCTTATCTGGATCACGTGTGGATTACAGTGTACGCGACGCTCGACAACAATAACTTACGTGTCTAAGGGAGATTATTGTTTACCTGAGAGCTGTTCTCATCTGCAAACGCTGAAATCTGGATTCGCTTGTAGTCTTCTCTCCATATAGACGCGGCTCTAGTTGCTGGTGATTGTTCTGTCTCTACAGATTTGGTAAGTGAGCGACCAGTGCTCTTTGTTTATTCAGTTTATTCGTATCGAATTAAGTTAACTATTGCACTGAGTGCAGAAATGTTAGCACCGCATTTAGTGACCGGAATAACACACGCGGCTTTCTGACGCTACCTGCCGTGTGCATCTAAGTTTCTGGGAAATGCGGAGGTTTTTTTTCTCTCATTCGCCGTGCGGTATCAAACATTGCATGAAAAATACACGCTTAGAGCAGATCCTCGAATCAAATATCTCGTTTGTCGCGACCCTGAATGAAAGAGCCAAACTGCAGTTAAAGTCCAACATTTAATAATTTGGCAAATAATTCAACTACAGATGTCCATGTAGGTTAAACACCATCACTTTCTCCTGTCTGTGTGGGAGTGTATTTTGACTCTGAAACTCGCGCGTGCACAAATAGACACTCCCACACCATCCCACTTTAGTTCCTCCGACACTCCCCCCTAAACAGAGCTGGACACGCCCACTTTTCTGACTTTTTCCAAAGTAGAGGTGTGAAAACACACTGCTGAAACGAGGGGGTTTCATGGCCCTTTAACCTTTGTGCAGTTGAATGAAGAAATGATCAATATTTCTTTTTGTTTTTTTTTTGTGCCACAGATTCTGCCAGACATGGTGTCCATTGTTTCCATCTGGCAGTTGCACTCAAAGGAGAAAGAAGATGCTGCGAAGATGAAGAACAGAAAACAAAAACAGAGCCAAGAACACTGTAATCTCTTTGATTAGTTAAAGGGAGAGTTCACCTGAAAATTGAAATATATTTCAGACCTTTGAGTTTCTTTATTATGTTGAACACGAAAGACGATATTTTGATTAAAGCTGAAAACCTGTAATCATTCACATCTGTCCTAAGAATAACAAATAATATGGAATTCAGCGGTTACAGGTTTTCAGCTGTCTTGAAAGCAGTGTGTCCGCTGGTCCTTAAAATGTCTTAAATTCCAAAAACAAAATTTTAGGCCTTAAGTTTTAAATTCACTGAAATATTGTGTTTTAGGTCTTCAGTCATTTTAAACAGATCTTAATTTTGCTTTGTCCAAGGAAAGCTATTTAATCTGCCTAACGTTCACCCAATCACCACCAATACAGCTTGATTAAACCTTACTTTTTATATATTTAAGTTGTTTTTTGAAAAGATAAACAATTTACAACAGCTGTTAGACGCAGTGGTGGAGTGGGTAGCACGTTCGCCTCACAGCATGAAGGTCGCTGGTTGGAGCCTCGGCTCAGTTGGCATTTCTGTGTGAAGTTTGCATGTTCTCCCTGCGTTCGCGTGGGTTTCCTCCGGGTGCTCCGGTTTCCCCCACAGTCCAAAGACATGCGGTACAGGTGAATTGGGTAGGCTAAATTGTCCGTAGTGTATGAGTGTGTGTGTGAATGTGAATGTGTGGATGTTTTCGAGAGATGGGTTGCAGCTGGAAGGGCATCCGCTGCGTAAAAACTTGCTGGATAAGTTGGAGGTTCATTCCGCTGTGGCGACCCTGGATTAATAAAGGGACTAAGCCGACAAGAAAATGAACGAATGAATGAATGTTAGACATTTTTACAGAAAAATCCTCAAATTGAATCCAAATTGAAGCAATTCACAATTTCTCATGGTAATTCCAGGCCATTAGAAATAATTATTTGTGTTAACCCTGTATAAGGCTAAAATGTAATTCTTTATGGTGCAGAAGGGTCTTAAAGTCTATAATGTGACTTGATTAAACCTGCAGAATCCCTGTGAAAGTATCTTCTTTTGTGTTCAACAGAAAAAAGAATCTCATAGAGGTTTGGAACTTGTGAAGCGTGAACTTGTGAAGCGTGATTTTTAGTTGAACCATCCATTTAAATAATTTCATAACCATCCTTTTGTTGATGTTAAAATACTAAAATCTATTGTGCTTTTTCTCTTAAAGCACAACAGGATGATCCACACCTCATCCTGGTCAAAGCTCTGCTTCTTCAAGTCATGTGTTTATATCAGAAAGTGGTTCCTCACCTTGTCACCCAGAGCAGATTCGACTTCAGCAAACTTCTGAAAGGTAGAACAAGCATTAAGACTGAAAACCGATTCAGCAAATTACCTTCTGACCTGGGCAAGGCTAAGCGAATCACTGAAATATTTGCAGGTATTGTGACGGAGAGTGGGATGACACAGGAAGTTCCTCCAGTTTTGCAGTACCAGATTCTACAACTGGCTCTTGAACTTCCTGCAAGCAAATTCTCCTGGTTTCGTGTTCAGGTAAAAACCTTTTCCTTTTTTGAGTCGTGTGTTTGTTTTTCAGATTGACGTAAGCACATCTGTATTTTGCTAATTACCAACAATAGCCGCGTTTCCACTATCGCGCCTAAAGCGAGCGAGCCAGGGCGAGCCAAGGCCAGTGGCGTTTCCACTGTCACTTCCGGGGCCTAATCGGGCCAAAGCGGGGCTTTCTCGGGGCCAACGGCCAGCCTTTTTCGGCCCGCCGAATACCTTGGGCCAAGGAGGGCCAGCCGGGGCTTCGGGGCGGAGTGAAAGGAGAGGCGGGCACAGTTTTCCGATCGCACTCGAGTACATGCGCCAAACAAATAAACAAATAAGGGAAATAAAACATCTGGAACAAATTATAGGCTGGGGTCTTTTTTGCATATGATCGCCCTTAAGTTTCTCTTTTAAATGTAAGGCTGTTGCATAAAATGATCTTTCTTTGCTGCATCTTTGATGTTTCAATAACGCATAATAATCTGTACACCATATTAAAGACACAGCAGACAGTAAAGGTTTTTAAGAGGTTTTGTCAAGTTTAATACTGTGTGTGTTTTTGTGCGTTTAGATGCCTGTGTATGTGTGTGAGACCGAGGAAAAGAGCGCTCCATTCATAGCTCTGTTGATGCCGCGAGCGGCTTTTTTCTTTTATTTTTATTGTTTTAATTTATTTTGGAGATAATACACTATATGAATACAACAGTAGGACATTAAACTTTACAAATTTCATGTCCACTTTTGTAGGCTCAAAACAATAGTGTCATATCTAGATAAAATAGCCCTATATTGAAATAATTTAAAGAATTACAAATATTAGATAGGCCTATAATAAAATCACATTAAATAAATAAACCAATATAAAACTAACAAAAGCTATAGCTATAACAATTAGGTACTATATCAAACTGTTTCAAATTTATATTAAACTTTCATTTTTCAAAAGCCTCTTTGAAAAAAAGATTTTAGATATTTTCTAAAAAAAATAAAAATAAATAAACACCGGAAAATGTTTTAAATATTATTTATAAAGTATTTGGATACGATGAAATTAATCAAATCATGCAAACAGAGCATTTTCGGGGTGAGTGAACGCAGAAACTAGGCGACCTTTTTTCTGTCTGCAGCCGCGCAGCACTTTTTTGACGGGGGAAACTGCAAGTTCAAAATGTGTTCTGTGTCCTCAAACAAGTGTGTATGTTTTTATATGACGTGGTAAAATTAAAAAAGGACATTTTAAATACATAAAGAGCTTTATTAGTGCATAGCTGCTGAGCGCAACGAAATATAGGCTATATTTTATTACGTGCTGCTCTTATGTGCTGAAACACTGAACACTTTCCTTTACTTAAGATATAATAAGCAACATCTTTAAATAAAGGGAATCACCTATTAAGAGTCATAAAGCCTATAGGGGGAAAAATCATGTTTCAGTTCTCTCCGGAGCATTTGGGATGAATGTTGGACAGATTCTGTCTAGATGATGTTATAAAAAACATTTTATATCGAGTTATTAACGGAGAATTTTATATATGTGGTGTTATATTATGGATGTGTGCGCTCCTTGCGCTCCGGGTCCCTCCGTTGGTGGCGAGACCACTGGATTTCGATGCCAGTCGGTCGGCGAGTAAATGAATATGATGAATGAAAACACACAGGCATGTGCGTATAGACATGCGTTGTACTGCTGTACAGTAACGTGTCATTTGTTTGTTTTGGTTGTCCTATTTTAATAGTTTCGTGATTATGTGATGATGTGCTTTATCTGCATGATTCTCGCTGAAGTGGGCGGTTTGAGTGACGTTCGATTCGGGGGATGTTCTGGGGGCGGGGTTTGCGTGACGCGCTGCCAGCTACTAGCCCCACAGTGGAAACGCGACATGATTTCGGCCTCACTGCTCAACCTCCCGGGCGATTGGCCCGGCCTGGCCCGATATAAGCCCTGGCTCGCACTGGCCTGATAGTGGAAATGCGGCTAATGTGTGGGTGCTCATTTAGATGAACGGGTTTTAGAGCAAGCTTGTGTGCGAATGCGTGTGTTGTAAATTATCAGATGAGAAGTTTTCATGAGAAGTTCAATTGTGCCTATGAAAATTGCATTTTTTCCTTCTTTTCCTTTATACACAGGAGATGGCAAATCCAGATTTTGAAAAAGGAGAGAAATCTGTCATCTATTTGTTACTCAAGATGTTTGTAAGTAGTAACAATAGTTACTTGAAGACCTCAAGCAGGATGCTGGTTCTAAAGGTGAGTTTAATTCACCTAACAACAGAAACATGCTTGTTTTTTTCTCCAGCCTTTTTAAAAATGCTATTAAATGTGAAAATAAAGAAAAATGCCACAAGATTTCAGAAAATATTTAGAGCAAGACTTTTCCTAAGATTAAGGGCCCTATCATACACCCGGCGCAAGTCACGGCGCAATACTCTTTTGCTACTTTTAGCTCTGCGCAAGGGTTGCGCCACGCAGTTTAAATAGCAAATGCATTCGCGCTCAAATGTACGCCCATAGGTGTTCTGGTGTAAAAAAGCAGGCGTGTTTTGGCGCATTGCTATTTTGAGAAACTGGAAATAGTCTGATCTTTAGACCAGAACAAAGTCAGACTATTGTCTGGCGCAAAGTGCGCCTGGCTTACACACTACACACAAGATGCAGAGCAATACGCAAATATCTTTACAAATGAAAAAGATATAATATATTAAGGATATATACAGTATATAAAAATAAATGATTAAAATATTACAAAACATATTAATTTCTAGCTTACATGAAGATTTAAAAACCGATGCCTTCATACTTTCTTCATCTCGAGAGGCTTTTTCAGTTAATTCAATTTGCTTTTGTATAATGTTATTATTATTAGCAGTATTATTTATTATATGCATATTTATATTTGTTTTATTAAAAACAAGCTTAGATTTGTCCACCTGTCAGGTTTTAGACCATATGGGGCATGGCAGGTGTATTTGGAAATAACTCAGTATTTTGACCAGACTTGGTCATTATTATTCATTTATTTGTTTGCTGGAAATTAGAACTGAATTTAGAAATAGTTTTTAAACAAATCTTTGCGCTTAACAAACGAAATTAATTATTTATAGGCTAATTGATGTCTGTGCGGTAAGGTTTCCCTATCCACGAGAGCAAAAGAGAAAGTGAACTTACTTTACTTCAAAACGCGCTTATGGCTCGACGCAGCTGGGTCTTAAAGGGAATGGGAGATGAGACTCTAATTGGTTTATTCTCAAAACACACCTATAACTCATTTAGAAAATAAACTCAACCCTTTTAGACCATGCGCCATGGCGCAAAGCGGATTTTCCCGTCCTTAAATTAGCAAAAATGCGTTCTGACACGCCCTGAAAGCATTTGCACCCTGCGTTTTGCGCTCTGCGCATGGACCGTCAAAATAGAGCCCTAAATCTTAACAGTTTTCATTAACAGTTTAAACAATTATATTTACGTTAACAAAGTCACACAAGTGGCAATTTCACATCAGTCACATCTAAGGGTGCCACGATTTCGATTTTAAATCGAAATCGATTGAAATTCATGTTCAATTTCGATTATCAAATCAAAAAATAGAATCATCGATGCTGCCACGCCCCCATGCCACGTCAGCTTGGCTTGCCAAGTGGAAAAAAAATACGCTTGTTGAAGTGCTTCTTGAACTGTAGACGCAGGAGACCCGTCGATAGAGCTTAAACCCTCTCCTCTTTCAATGAAGTTGCCGGTGTGAAAGTATTTTGGATTTATGTTGACAACATTCGTGTTGTCGAAAAAAACACAGTTTGCAAGCTCTGCTATGTAAGTATTAGGGTTGGGCCGATAGACAACTCCGGCATCGCGATCACCCGCCCCCATTGCAAATCCGCTTGCGAAAAATACACACTCAGGCCCTGCTTACAGCATCAGGTCTTAGTTTTTAAATGGCATTTTATAAAAAATTTACAGAAAAAAGTGATTGACAGGTGGCAATTATGTGTGTAGCTTATCTTTATTCATTTACTGTATGATTTCTTTATGATTTTGTTTAATTTTTCTTTTTTAAATTGAATATCAAATCGAACCGTGACTTTAGAATCGAAAATGTAATCGAATCGAGGATTTGGAGGATGGTGACACTC